GCTGTGGTGAAATTACATTCCATCACAACTGGTGTGCCAAGGTTGCCTACCCCATCCTAGGCTGAGATGATGCCATCAGTCTGCTTGGGGCCCGGTTCACACTTGGTGATCTATCAACGCGTTTTCGCAAGCATTTGCGAGCAGTTTTGCCACAATTGACACACGTTATACCATTCAATTTAATGAGCTGCCACACATGCAACAAACGCAGCATTTTCAGCTGCGAGCTTCCCACGTTCTCTGACCACGCATTTGTGTATGTTTGACAGGCATTCACACATGGCCAAAAATTTGCATTTTCCCAGCCACGTTTGGGGTGCCAATAACAAGCGCAATGCAGGCGTTTGACACGTTGTGTAAAAGCACGTCAATTCACACGCATGACGTGCTTTCGGCGCACGTTCACAGAACGCCAAACAGTGAACCGGACCAGAGGCAGGAGGAAGCTTTTCCTCAGTGATCAGGCTGCATCATTATAGCTTTGGCAAGCCATAAGGTGAAAGCAAGCTGTAGCAGGGGCTAATCTGTGTCAGACATTTGTGACCACCAAGAACTCAACAGCCACCAGGATTTACATGACTGTGTTGTCTCTGATCTGGCATCTCAGTCTAGGAAGTAGACGATGACTCTGGATGATGCCTGAACAAAGTGCCATGCTTCTGGAGAGAAAATTAGATGAGTGCCTGACAGTGTTACACTTACACATGCATGTCCGTAACACGATATCTGATTCTCCCTTGTCACCAGGGAGCTGACTTCCCGGCCAATCAGGAAGCCAGAGGGTGGGTAATGATTCACCCCCAGCTTCCTGATTGGCTGGGAAGCCAGCTCCATGCTCCCATGTCACCAGGGAGCTGGCTTCCCGGCCAATCAGGAAGCCAGGAGGTGGGTAATGATTCACCCCCAGCTTCCTGATTGGCTGGGAAGCTGGCTCCATGCTCCCTGACGACTTGGTAACAAGGGACCTTGGAGCCAGCTTCCTGGCCAATCAGGAAGCTGGGCAGCGTGTAACGATGTACTGCATAGCTTCCTGATTGGTCAGGAAGCTGGCCAATCAGAAAGCCGTTCGGCGAGTCAATACCCGCCCCGGCTTCCTGATTGGCCAGAAAGGCAGCTTCATGCTTCCTCGTCCTGGTGATCGGGAAGCTGGCCAATCAGGAAGCCAGACGGCAAGCCATTACCCACCCCTCTCGGGTTCCTGATTGGCCAGAAAGCCGGCTCCATGCTCCCTCATCACTTGGTGAGTCATTACACACCGCCTGGCTTCCTTAATGAGACGTCCGGTATCGGTATTCGGTATCGGCGAGTAACGGGAAAAAAAATACAGAAAAAACGGTATCAGTGCATCCCTACTTCCAGGTCTGCTTTGCAGATTGAGCCTACACAGTCAGGCTCTGTCCGCTGAGTCTTTCATGGCTGCTGTGGTACATTATTACATCCATAAAACAAAAGCTATTTACATGATGATGGCCAAAAATCTCAAAGCGGCCGTATGCAGGTTTGATAAATGGCTCTATAACCGTAGGCTCGTTCTGTGCTGTGGATGTGCAGTTGGCCTCAGGGAAATAAAGGAAAACTTAGCATGGAGCTCCTCGCCGTCCTACAATGAATTATGAACGTCTCATTTTTACATTTTGGTAGAAGCTGACAATATGTAATTACCTTCTAAGAAGCCAATATCGTCCTCTGTTCTCAGGGGTTTAGTGGAGCGCCTTTTGGCCTTCTTCTCCATAAGCCGACTCTGATATTCCTCCATTAGAGAAGAGCTTTCCAACACATGGTACCCCAGGGGCTACTCAGGGCCGTAAGACCTCATTGACGCAGCGGCGGACTGACCACGCCTCTGAATAGCGCTCCATGATGGATCTGCGGTTGAGTCTGTAGGTGTTCAGGAGGCCATAATTGCCTCCTGAACGTCTGATTTTCTGTTTCAATCCCAATGGGGATTCTACATTCAAATACCAGGCCACCAATGCACGCCAAGCATATTGGCCGCACGGTCCCATTGACTTCAATGGGCACGTGTGGAAAGCGGCACTGCCAAGTTAAATTTTCTGCACTGTAAAGCGAAATATCACAGCCGCGGAAATGTATATGGACCTGGGCCTCCTCCATGTAAATTTTTAGGTGGGTGGTTGAGGGTCGGTAAAAATGTGTCAACCGCCTGTTTGTACCGCACCCGTAGGAACTTTTTTCTTATGAAAGTTTAAAGTTTTAGCGATTCCAATACAGATTCACTTCAAAACACATCTCAGTAAGTGTTTTAGAAAATGATTATATTTGGGGGGCTACAGGCATGGCCATTCCCTATAATGAGGCAGCATGAGACGGTTGCCTCAAGAGGCATCTCATTGGGTCACATGGGGGGGGTGGCAGGTGTGGCTGCCGCCTCCTTTATGGCAAGAGCATCCCAGGTTTCCAAGAGCTCTGAGCAGGTGGGTTCCACTCAAATTGATGGGAACCAAGGCCATCCCTATAATGAGGTTGTCTAAGACAGTTGCTCAAGCGGTATCTCATGGGGGTCACATGAGGGGGGGGTGATCAGCAGGCTGCCGCCCTCTTTCTGGCCAGAGTGTCTCAGGTTGCTACGCTCTTACCAACCTGTGACGCTCTGTCTGGCATCCCGCCCAGCTCCTGGCAACCAGTGACATCAGTGAGCTGGGCAGGACACCAGACAGAGCCGGACCCAGAGGTACCGTGCACCACCAGCACCAATCCACCCCCCCTAGTAATGTGCACTATAAGCACTCATCTTTACCCCCACCACCTCAGGTAACGAAAAGTGTAGGGACACCCCAGGCTACAGGTTATAAATGTATCTAAGTCAAGGGGTGTCTGAGATAACCCGACCTTCATCACATGTACAGAGATCTGCTTCATCAGCTTCTTCTCTCTGGCTATAGCAGCCAGATGACTGACAGGTGAATGCGGAAGTGATGTAATACACATCACTTCCGCATTCACAGCACGGAAGGAGTTCAGCAAGGAGGAAGATGCTGATCTGCCTCCTGACACCCTCCCTAAGCCGGTCCCGGGCCGCAAGATGGGGCAGCGGATCCCGGGATTGAAGGGGAGGGTGCAGGAGGGTGGGCGGCGGCACTCGCTGAGGGGGGCGCACAGGCAGCACACACAAGCAATTGGATGGCTATAGAGCCGTCGATCGCTTGTATGTGTAACAGCCGGTAACGGCTGTAGATTCCCGGCGGCATTCTGCTCACAACTGGCGGATGGCAAGGGATTTAATGAACCTATTGAAGAACATCTGACCAGAAGAGAAAACACACTGATTTTGCCCCATTCTGACAACAGCTGGTTCACACGCACAGAATTCTTTTATAAATAGACCCCTTAATAGCTGTAGCCAGGCCATCTGAAGGAGCAACTCAGAGACTCAGCTTTGTGTTCTGATCCTATGCTATGTACCAAAGTAGGGGAGCTTCTCCTTTTTGATCGAGCTAACACAGGCAGATGGATCAATGAGTGGTAATGGAGTCTTTTTTTTTTTGCCACCTCTTTTCGGACATGACAGGGCCAGCCGACTATCCTGGGCCAATATAACAGCTACCTGGGCTACTATGGCTGTTGTTATGCCATTGGATTACACTTTTCTCAACAGACGCTCATATAATGACAAATACACAGGCTAGTTCATGGAACAGAGAACTTTCATTAATAAGTAGGGGGCCTGTTTTATTAGGACGATGAAAACTAAATCATGGTCATGCTTGCTGAGCTGGTTTGCCACCGGAATTCACAGCCCATGTATTTATCTAATACATGGGCTGTGAATTCAGCCAAGTAGCTGGCGAATGCTGGAAAATTTTGGTAAACATTTTTGGTAAAATGGAAGACTGGAACAAAAAAAACGCAGGCTCGTGTTACATAAACTATTTATCATAGTACTATATATATATATAATTAACTTTAATTTTAATACAAGCAAGCATCCCACCCTTTTATAGAAAGGCCCCTCCATGTATATATGTGAAATTAACTTGAATTTTAATATTAATATCCTATAAATAACATTTAAAGGACGTGGGAGCCGGTGATTGGAACCGCTGACCTTGATTTACCAGTCGC